TTAATCTTTAAAACTAATAATTTTTTTAAAATTAATCAGGACCAATTAGGACCAATTAGGACTTTTACCAACCCTATCTATATGTGAGGATTTACTGTATATCAATATAACTTGATATAAAGAAATTTTTAAAAGTCCTGACATATCATATTCTTGTCCAGTAACTAACTAATTTTTCGATAATCTAACCCAATTTAGATGAATATCAAGGTAAGTCTTTGCATAATGATTGGTCATGACAGTTAACTAACTTTACCTTTTTTGATCTCCTAACCCAATTTAGCTGAATATAAGAAAGGTAAACCAATAATCAATTATGATGCCTAATTTGTTAATTTACCTTTTTTAACGTAATCTTTTGACGCAAACATTATTTCAGAAAAATGAAAGAGACTTGAAATGGAATTAAAATACGAAAGGGAAAAAAGCAAGAGATATCGTTTTCAAACTCTTCTTAATGTAACAACCCATAGCCTTTCTTGCTTGTAAATAGTATATAACTCGACACGTGTTAGAGTATTGTGGTTTGAATCCTCAAGACTCTTACTTTCATTCAATTTACTACTGACTAATGATAGAGAATCTAGTTATCAGAATTATTTTATAACAAAGATAATTACGTAATTAGATAATAACTATGTCATAGCTGTTGATACACATGTGATAAAATTTCTTGATGGAAAAGCTCCCGATATTTATACTTATTCTAAGGGGTATTCTCTAACTCTACATACAGTAGAAGTTATAGAAGAAATAAAACCTTTAGATTCTTGTTTCACTCATACACATAAGGGACAAGTTTTACAATATACTACTATTGCGTTGAAGTATCAGAAAAACCTACGTAAGAAAATTACGGGATTTTTAACTGATTGTCATAATATTGGATTCATCAGGATTTGTAGGGTAGTGAAGATAATGATACATCATACAAGATATCATTTTCTGACCAAATGAGTCTTAGCAACTAATAACTACAAAGTACTTATGAGCACTTCTAAACACGATATATTACTATCCCATGTTAGGTATCTTATATCATCTCTGCAAATATGCATATTTTTTAACTTTGTAATTTTTGACTTTCAGGTCTGGCTGTACAATTAGATGACTTAATTGCATCCACATCAAATTCTGTCGTATTTGACATCATTGACAATATAAACTCTATTTACAAAGTTGTTAGAAATAGTTATTTTATCAAAAATGAAATAAAATATTAAATGAGCTTCAAACGCATAATTTTATCGATGAGGGAATCATAAAGCTCATCGATAGCGATGCAATTATGACCATAAGCAATTAAATCGTTCAAAAATCTCTCGAACCTTTATCAAAACTGGGGGAAATTGTGGATAAGCTTCGTATATGTCATCAAATTAATTTAGTACGATATGCGATTGAGTAATATTCTTGTCTACAATGACAGGCTTATTTTAGCTGATTTTGGGTGTGGCTTTGCGTGATGGAAAAGAGAGTGTTTTTCTGAAAGTCAGATACGATTTCCACACATTTATTAATTCATTTATAAATTGTTAGAATTGGAATGGCTGTGGTCCAATATTGCCATTCCGATCATTAAGACTGATGGAAGCAATAAAAGCCAAGGAATTAACCGTCAAGTGTCAAGATGATCTATTCACGCTTGTACAATCGCTTAAACGAAGAGCAAGTAATTGAAGTTGATATAAACAGTCCAAACAGTAGATGAAGTGGCAGAAAGTGTTTGAAGAAGGAATTTGGAGAAACGGGTATATTTCCTGTAACAATTTGGACTATGATAACTTAAAAAGATATATAAACGAACTTGCTTGACTGTGATTTTTCAATGGCTAGCGTGTTCGAGCATATAGTAATTTCATTGTCTAGAATTTCACAAATTCACACAAAAGTTAAAGTGGATTGATGATGAGTAATTTAATGGGTACTTATTCATCAAATTTACTTTACAGGATAAGATATTAAAGGTAAAAGGATGGTTTATTAAATAATATTGTAGTGTGTTATTTATATTGGTTAACGTCACGAAGTGACGTTAACCAATGTACTGTAAATAATCACCGTAATATCGATATTATCGTACGGCTCACAAGATCATGCTTTATAAAAAAAGGCTTATCGAATCCTAACAATTCCTTTTCTTAATTTCTATTATTCTTTAACATTATCTCAAACCAATATGCAATGCGAAATAAAAGCATTTATAAAAAAAA